GAATATCTTTTACCACCTTTTCTATTCAATATTATTTTGGAGGGCCTGACCAGTACACTAATGGAAGAAAAAGAAATGAAAAGTATAGGATTAGAAAAGAAAAGTAAAATTGTCATTATTTATAGATAACATGGTTATATACTTAGCAAATTATTAGGATTAATAAGTGAATTTATGAAGTATGTATTTTCAGCTTCTGGCCGGAGGCTTTGCTTCCCAATCTTTCAGAATTGCCACCCTGTGTGCTGCCACCCTTCATTTCTTCAGGAGAAATGAAGCTCTCCTTTCTAAATTAAAAAAAAAAAAAGTGAATTTAGCAAGTTTGCTGGATACAAAGTCACTATGTAATTATACTTCTAGAAAGCAGCATTGACAAAATTGAGATAATATACAATTTGAGTTTGCATCAAAATATCAAGTATGTAGGAATAAATCTAGTGATTTGTATGACTCTACGTGGAAAACTGTAAGACTTTACAGAGAAAAACTAAAGAAGACCTAAATAATTGTAAGTGTATATACTGTTTATGGATTGAAGGATTCAGTATTTAAAGATGCCAGTTTTTTCTAATTGATCTACGTAGGTTTAGTGAAATCACAATGAAAATCCCAGCAGGTATTTTTTTTTTTTTTTTGGTGGGCTCAAGAAGCTGATTTGAAAACTTCTATAAAAAATGAAAAAAAACAAGAATACACAAGGCAATCAGGAAAAAGAACCAGGTTATAGAATTTACTTCTCCTAGGTATCAAAATTTATTAGAAAGTATAATAATTAAGTCAGGGTGATAGTGGACTGACAAATAGAATGAATGGCATATTATAGAATCTAGAAATAGACGCACATGTATACGGATATTTGATTTGTGACTAATGTGGTAATGCAGTGTGTAGAAGATAAACGGTGCTAAATCAAGTGGATCTCCATACAGGAAAAATAAATAAATTTTGACCCCTGTTCACACCATACATGAAAAAAACCAGATTTTGGTGGATTAACTTTGCCAAATTATGCTGATAAATCAGATAAGACAAGGAATGAGAGTTGATTTAGCAGTGTGGAGATGGTGGTAGGGGAAGCCTGAGATGAAAGTGAATTTAAGAAAGACCAGGAAGACAGAAATTTGATATAACAAGTAGGATCTCTGAAACTAGAAAGTAACAGCAAAGCTAGAAAACAGGAAGACCTGGCCGCATGGAAATTTTTAAAATTCTGAAATACTTCTTGGTTCAAAGAGGCAGATTGTAAAGAGGTAATAATACTTAAATACTATATACAAAGACTTAAGAAACTCAGCTAAAGTAGTGCTTACAGAAAATTTCATAGCCTTAAAAATACTTACAGTCATAAATGGAAAAGAATGAAATAAGTCAACTAAGTAGTTCAACTCAAGAAGTTAGAAAAAGAATAACAAAATACACCTGAGAAAAGGCGAAGAAAGCGATAGTAAAGATAAAAACCAGAAATTAATGAATTAGAAAACTAAAATAAAAATAGAACTAAATAATCTAAGATCTGGTTGTTTACAATAAAATAAATAAATTGCTAGCTAATTTAATCAAAGGATTAAGTGGAGCTGATTCACACTTAAAATAAAACATAAGCAGGGAAAGCCCTAGCAAAATAGAGAAAATTAAAGAATCAAAATAGACTACTTGACTCTAAAAATATATTCGAACATTTATATGATCCAGAAAACAACCAAATGCAGAAAATAGAGAGAAAATAAACTAGCAATACTCAAAGTGTGGTCTGGGGTCCTCCAAACCCCGCTGGAGGTCTGTGAGGTTAAAATTATTTTCATAATAATACTAAGATGTCATTTGCCTTTTTCACTCTTATCCTCTCTCAAAGGTACAGTGGGGTTTTCCAGGCCTACATGACGTGTGACACCGCAACACATTCAGTGTATTAGCACATATGAGAAATAGCTGCAAGGAAAGAGATTTGTAAAATTATAAAATAGTGCCATTTTTCTCATTGAATTTTTGTTATGGAAAATATATTAATAGTTATTTTTAATAAAAATATGTTATTTATGTTAACATATTATGGGTTTATAGTAAT